ATATTACCAATTAATCAATTAATAATGCATAGCAAAAACACATGGCTAGCAGGGCAAACTTCTCACACTAGCGGAGGACTACAAGAGGCAACAAGAGAGCAGGAGGGCACAGTTGTAAAGATTAGGATCAGCTCATAAATTTGGGTTAGACAATTAGAGCAAAATAAACATGCAGTAATATAGAGAGACTTAAAGATTTTGGAAGAAGTAGGAATTAACAATAAGAACATTGATAGTTATGAATCAGCTTCAGTTAGAGGTGGATTTTAAAAGCAGTATATATTAACATATAGCAGTGCAGGGTGAATACATGGCATGGGTGATAGTACAGATGGATATTGCTCGCGGACATTTACCATATAGCTGTGTAGGGTGAATTAGCATTCATACATGACATGGGTGATAGTACAGATGGATATTGCTTGCAGACATTTACCTGTGATGAAATGTTATTCAGATGATGCAGAGCCGAAGTGCAATGCTCAATTCTTAAGCCACGATCAATACTTTAGCCTAGATGATAGTTGCCAATGCTACCCCTGGCTGTGCTGCCCCTGGGTAACCTCTTCCAGCACTTGTAAATGTAATCTAGCAGTTCTTTAGCCCCTCAGATTACTTTTACAAGACACAGAATTGCTGGAGCAAAACAATAGTGTCTTGGCCATTGCAGCAGCTGCAGCGATGACCGAGATATCTCCCTTCCCATTTAAGGATGTTCGGGTAAAATGAGCAACACTTGTAAAAAATAGTGTAGTTTTCGAGATCATGATTAGATTTACACTTATTATTAATCTTAGTAACAGCAGTGGTGGCAATATTAAAATAATAAAAGTAATGGTAGTAGGTTCAATTACTATTCCTAATCGTAAATAATATACATTCAATAATTGTAAAATAAAGCATATTTTTGAAATCTGTAAAATATTAATACATTTCTATGTAAGTAATGCTAATATTTCAATTACATCATCTGTATGCTATTTTATTTGCTGCTCTCTTATAGACAATTAGAAAACTGTAGCTATAGACAATTATTAAATAGTATTCCTCTGTACGAATGAAGGTTTGTTGACAAATCAAATTGCATGTGGACAAATCAATAACATACTGAGCTAGCTGCATATATTACAACTTGGCAATGTGATTTAAGAATAAATTTAGATAACGAAGCATGGCAAACAATATGGATGAATACTGTTAAATGAACCAAGAATGTCCTGTTGAATAAAGATGCTATTAAGGTACTATATAGGCTTCATTTAATGCTGGATAAATTACACAAATGCTACCCCCAGTGGCAAATCTATTCTTAAGGAAATATTCGACCAGAAAATTCCAATCACATATGTTGTAGCTTTGCTACACTAAAGCATCTTGTAATCTAACAAAGTATATTAACTATCTTGAAAGGGAACATAACATACAAATTCACACATTGCTCAAATAGTAAACTTATGCATAAAACAAGTTGATTAGAAAACATTTTTATTAGAATATTTCAGCTGATCCAAACTAAAAACTCTGTTTATATGTTTTATTTTTTTAAATAATATACTGTATTTATTTAATTGACACAGGATCTATTTGTAATTTAATCTCTTAATATACGTTTCTGTTTCAGTCTACATGATATGACTTTGCTGAACTGATACAAAATTGTACTTCCCTTCAAACACAACAAAATTGTACTTAAATCCCAACTCAGTGCCCTTTCTGTCACCAGTGCCCCCCCATCCACATCTGAGGGCCCCTAGTGTTGAAAGTGAGATCCAACAGACCATAAAACTGTGTTGAAAGAGTAGGGGAATAATAGTGAATATAATGCTACCCTAATGTTTCCCAATATTTGCAGGTCTGTAAAAAAGACAGTCATATCAAAACTTCTGGAAAGGAGATAATCCTCAAGTAGTCAGGCTCTTCAAAGAACGTCTGATGATGCCCTGTCATAAATGGTCTGGGGTGTGGTTTAAGTAATAACTGTACATCTGTGAGGCTGTAGTATTAACCTATATGGACCTATAACTGAATTCTACAAAGGTAAATTTCGTAAAAAATGTCAGAACGTCCTAATAAGTTACTGTGCTAAAAAGTAGTCACATTATTATAGAAGTTACCACTTAGTTAGACATCAAACTCAAAGGTCCAGAAGGCTAAAAAGACATGTTGAAAGGAATTTAGCAAAACTGAGGCAGATAGAAACCGGAGCAATTGTGCATGCCAACCAATTAGATTCTATCTTTATTTCCAAAGCTTAACTGAAATAATTAAAGATAGAAGGTGATTGGTTGCCATGCACAGCTACTCCAGATTCTGTCTGCTCTAGTTTAGATGAATTCCCTCCTAGGACAAATATACATTAGATATATTATACTGTATATTATATTTGTTATCTAAAATGTTGTACTTTCATTCTTTTAAATATCATGTTGGTCTTTGGATTGTGAAACCTTGTCATGTGGAAAAATACAGTATAGAAACCCAGAATGATTGGCATTAAGGATGTGTCTACTGGGCATAAAAAAATACCTGCAACACACCTCTCAGACCATTTGATTGGGTGGGATACATTTTGAAACACTCTGTCCAGGTACATAAAAATGCTGTAGCTCAAGCTGCTGCAAGCTTTCATTTTACAATTGGAACAATAAGGAATACTAAAAGCCATTTGCAAGGGCCATTGAGTCTTGCAACATCAGATTGGACATAATCTTCAAGTGATCTGAACTCTGCTTTGAAGACCTTTGAAGACCAAGTGGACTTTACTTAAATATTTTCTCCATAATAAAGGACAATAGCAAAAATGAAGGACAAAGACACACTTCCATAAAGTCTCATAATTGAATCAAAGCAATTGGCTTCCAATATATTCCCTGCAAAAAGCCACAGCCCTTTGATCTGTTTCATCCCAGTTAGGAACTATAAATAGGGCTACCCTGTTCAACTTGCCAGCCAGCTAACCAACAATATTGGTCAGCAACCCCAGTCTAAAAATGGCTTTTATCAGCAAGGAACATGGATAGGTATCACTTATCAAAAAGGGGGATAAGAAAGCCAGTTCAATCTGCCAGCCAATTAGCCAACTATCAAAAACCAAATTAACCTGTCTAACAACATGCCTTTGGGGTTGCTGACCAATGTTGTTGGTTAGCTGGCTGGCAAGTTGAACAGGGTAGCCCTATTTATATTTTGTATGCGATGCCCATCCACGTTCACTGCTGAAAAAGCCAGTTATAGACCTGGGTCGGTGACCAGTATTTTGAATTCATCCCAGTTAGGCTTATTCTTTACAAATAAACGCAATTGGGGGTGAAACGTGTCAGCAGGGTATGGCTTATGGTGGGGACTATGGCTGAAGCCAACTGAGTTCATTAAACTTTATGGTGAGACTTTATAATAAGTGCTGCTTTGTCCTTCATTTTTGCTACAAGTGCCGAGCAGGATGAGCTCTTAAAGCAAGTATCCAGTGCAGAGGAGGGCTGGAGGAATAGTATCGGGACTTGGAGTGGTGCAGTATTTTCTTTGTGTCTACAATAAGTATCTTTTCACTTTTACATTTTTTATTTCTTATATTTGTTTTTGTAATATCTTTTCCATAAACATTTTCTGCACAATGTTTCTTTTCTGTTCTATTCCTTAAAGTTGTTGTTCACCCATACATATATCCACTGAAGCAACTAGCCTTGGGTGATACACAGATCCTCCTATATAAGCTGAACATGTTTATCTTCAGTCCTCACTTCTCTACAGCTTCCTAAAGCACACATTTTATATAGCCCTTCTCAGCTTTAAAAGTCAGGGGGAATGAATCACACATTGCACAACACAGAGCAGGGAGATAAGTGTAATCTGACATCTGAGTGAAGGGAATGAACACCCCTCTTCTACACAGTCTCATAGGGAAACATGCATAGCTGAGGATGTCATTCGTCTGCTGTGTGCTGGAGAGGGGAGGGGCCATCCCAGGATTGCCTAGTGTCTGCAGACACTGTCAGGAGATGCAGATAGCAGAGGAACAGGGAAAACCAAAAGCACACCAAAGCAAGTACACACTATAGAAGGATATGATTTGTTCATATTTATTTCCAAAGTTTTATAAACACTTTAAGTGATATTTAAAAGTTGATGAACTTTGCTTCTCTGAAATAACCACTGTAGTTTAAATTCCATTACATTCCTGTGTGGGCATAACCACAGTGATGCAGAATTTTTTTTTCAAGATCAGATATGCAAGAGCATATGCTGTGAATGGTGTGTGTTTCAATTAAAATGTGTGGTGATGGCTAAAACATGTGTATAAAGGATTAACTTCACAGTTAAACTGGCCCAGTTGCAATCGCTCTCAGTCTGCTGGTGATTAGATTGTTGCCACAAAAGCTGGAAAATATCTGTGCAGGAGGAGGCTACAAAATGTGTATGCCATATTTGGTTGGCAGCTTGTTGACTATTTAGAGCATTAGCACATAAGTGAAGTACTTAACCATGCACTAAATGTCTGTAATCTCTGTAGAAACAGTGCTTGGAAAGTTGGTGGATATATTTTTATCCTTTTTTCTCTCACTCCTGTGTCTCTCTCTCTCTCTCTCTCTCCAGTATATATAAACAGTAAAATTATTATTATACATGATTTATATAGCGCCAACAGTTTCCACAGTGCTTTACAATATAAAGGGACACAGTGCAATTACGATACAGTTCAATACAGAAGGAATAGTAGGAGAGCCCTGCTCATGGAGCTTACAATCTAAAAGAAGGGGGGGTACAAAAGGTGATAGCTGCAGGGGATGATCTGATGGAGGTGACTCAAGTACAGTTATTTGGTGGAGGTGGGGTATCTACATATAGCATCAACTATCTCCTAATATTAATATATATATATATATATATATATATATATATATATATATATATACTATATTGCCTAAAGCACCCATCCAAATCATTGGATTCAGGTGTTCCAATCACCTCCATGGCCACAGGTATATAAAATCAAGTACCTAGGCATGTAGACTGCTTCTACAAACATTTGTGAAAGAATGGGTCACTCTCGGGAGCTCAGTGAATTCAAGTGCGGTACCATGATAGGTTGCCACCTGTGCAACCGTGACATTTCCTTGCTACTAAATATTCCACGGTGAAATGTTAATGGTGTTATAAAAAAAAGTGGAAGCAACTGGGAAGAACAGTGACACGAAGTGATAGGCCACATAAAATGACAGAGTGGGGTCAGCACATGCTGAAGTGCACAGTGCACTTCATGTGGCCTTCAGATTAGCACCACATCATTGCATAGAGAGCTTCATGGAATGGGTTTCCATGGCCAAGCAGCTGCGTCCAAGCCTTATATCACCAAGTGCAATGCAAAGTGTTGGATGCAGTGGTTTAAAGCATGCAGCCACTGGACTCTAGAGCAATGGAGACGTGTTCTCTGGAGTGATAAATCACACGTCTGTCTCTTGCAATCTGATAGACATGTCTGGGTTTGGCGGTTTCCAGGAGAATGGTACCTGCCTGACTGTATTGTTCTAAGTGTAAAGTTTGGTGGAGGGGGGATTATGATGTTTGTTTTTCAGGGGTTGGGCTTGGCCCCTTAGTTTCAGTAAAGAGAACTCTTTAGCATACCAAGACATTTTGGACAATTTCATGCTCCTAGCTTTGTGGGTAGAGTTTGGGGATATATATATTGTGACAGTAGGCAGGTAAAATCACCTGGTTGCGTCCAGGACGGCATATATATCTGTCCGAGATTTAGGCACTATGTTGATTTGTTCCACTAGGGGGAACTTCTGAGCCTTCAGCAGTGAGGTAATGAGCCCAGCTGAAGGTAGTGGGCTCATTAGGGCCTCTATAAAACTTCCCAGCCTGCTTAGGGAGTTGCTCCATCCTGGAACCAGATCTGTGCCTGAGTAGACAGGGGAGCGGCATACTTGTCTGTGTGGTGAGACAAAGAGCTGTGTGGCTAGCCTCCAACTGATAGGGACTGGGTGTAGCATAAGGCTGTACCTAGTATATAGCTATGGAAGCTATTGTATAGTAAGTGGCCAAGTTGACAAGGATTTAATTTCATGTTTCTTTTTGGTTTGATGTTTTTTCTTGTAAATAGTGTAAATAAACTGCACCTTTCTGTTTTTCACCTACACTGCTGTTTTGCTGTGCCTGTTTTTTTGTGTTGTGAACTCACCCAGGGGGCCACACACACCCGCTGCCAAGCAAACCCCATTACAATATATATATATATTTTTCAGCAGGAACGTGGGGGAACACAGTTCCAAAACGTCCAGCATTGAATGTATGTAATGGCAAGGGGTGCTGGGATATGCTGGAGGGTCTATTGATGCTGGCTGCTGGGGGAATATTTGTTGCTGGATCTATTGCAGAGGGGTTTATTGTTGCCAGGGGGGTCTTTTTTGAGGAGGTATCTACTGTTGAGAAAGGGGTCTATTGTCGCTGGCTGCTGGAGGGTCTATTGATGCTGGCTTCTGGGAGATCTATTATTGCTGGTGGGGATCTATTGTTGCTTGGGGGATCTATTGTTGATCAAGGGGTAGCTACTGTTTGATAGCTGCAGGGGATATATTTTACTGCTTTTCTTGTTACCAGCAACTAACTCCATACAAATTGTCTAATACCAAAAAATTATACTTGGTTCTGTATTCTCTAAAAGGGTGAGTACTGGGAGGTGGGTAGGAGATGGAACCAAAGGATGGTGCTCAGAGGTGGGTATGTAGCGGAGACAAGTGAAGACTTTGCAGAGGGGAATACCTGCACCTATTCTGTGAGGGGGAAAAAAGCCCTTTATATACACATGTAGTAACAGTTTTCTCCCTAGACTTTGTTTTTCAATGGTAAATGTTACATGGCACTCATGTTTGTCTAGTAAAGTACAAAATAATGAGTATGTAAAAAACTGTATTTTTTGCTAGAAAATTACTTAGAACCCCCAATATATATTTTTGTAAGGCAGGGGGCCCAACATTAGTGGGTGTTTAAATTTTTTATGTCACACAGTATTTGCACAGTGGTTTTTCAAATGCAATTTTCTAGGGGGAAAATACACTTTTTTAAAACATTTTCATGCACAAAAACACTATATAATACCCAATTGTTTGGAAAAAATATAAAAGACAATGTTATGTCAAGTAAATTGATACTAAACATGTCATGCTTTAAAATTGTGCATATGTGTGCAACGGCGACAAAACAAAGTTACAGGTTACCTAAAGACCATCACTTTGAGCAGCTGAAAAGTTACTGGCTTTCAAGACACTGGCACAAAAGTTACTTGTACCCTGTGCATGATTTTTCATCAATTGGAAAATGAATAGTAGTATGAGAGGTTGGATTCCCAGAGCTTCCCACACCAGTGCTGCAGTTGTGGGGACTTGGCTTTCATACTATGCACCATCTGATATAACCCAGGATTCACAAACCAAACCCTCTGAACCTACCACATACTATGTAAAGATATGGTGGCACCATCTGGGCAAATTAGGTTGTGCACAGTGGAAAGAGTAAAAAAAATTGCAAGCACAGTTACCAAGTTCATGTACAGTATGTCTGATGCAGAAAATATAATGTATTCTTGGTGTTAGCAGTCACTTGTACTTCTGCAAGGCTGCAGTGGTTCAGTCCTTAGCTGCAGAGGAGGAGGAACATAACCATAGCTTCTTTACTTGCTCTGATCCAGTGGTCTCTGTTGAGAATCAGCAGCTATCCTTATTTCCCCAGGATTCATAGTGTGGCCTTTGAGCAAGCACTGCAAACTGACAAGAATCTGGAACAACATGGAAGCCTAACTTCCAGTTCTACAATGGAGGGACAAAAACAAACGGTGTACAGGGACATTGGAAAGATGTGCAGGGAGTAAACTCCCACCAAAGGCAGTGAGACAGAAGTGGTCAAAAGGTAGCTAATTGCATTGGACATATTTAGAGTCTACTTGTTAACAATAGTGCATGAAATTACCCTAGAAGGTCATTTGGGAATCACTAAGACAAAAGTATGAGTGAAGCAATGTGCGTGTGGCCTAGCGTGGGTACAGAGATAGCCAATTACTCTTAGCCGTATGGAATCTGCCAGAGGGTTGGAAGGTAATGTTCACAGGGCTTCCTTACAATCCTTACCATGTAATTATTTAAACATTTAAGAGTATTTGTATGGATATTTTTGGGACACAAGACATCCACAGCAATTTAGGCAAAATATTTATCTTGACAGTAGTAGACTATGCCATCCTTTAGCCAGAGGCTGTGACTCTTCCTTGTCCTCGACGCAGACAAGGTCAAAGATGCTCTGCTGGAAATCTTTAAAAGAGTGTGGCTCAATGCAGAGCTACTTAAGGATCAGGGTTCACAGTTTGTATCTGACCTGATGTTGACTCATTGTAGGAAAATACAGGTGAAGTATACATTGTCTAGTCCTTAACATACACAAATTAATGGCCTGTGTAGTAATTTCAATGGGACTATAAAATATGTGCTGAGGACATTCATGGAGTTGCAGGGCAGAGAATGGGAAAGATTACCTTACCTGCTGTTTGCTTACAGAGATGCAGTTTAGGAATCCAAAGGCTTTCATGGTGTGAAATCCTATACATAAGATGTGTAAAAATGACATTTAGACCCAATCCAAGATACTTGTGAGAGGCAAAACTGTTGATCCAGACGTCTCTGTAGTGGATTTTCTACTGAGGTTCTGGGACAAAATTAAATATCTGGATAGGATGGTACAGAAAACATGACACGGGCTCAAGCCTAGTAAAAAATGCCAGAGTGAGGACATACAGTCTGGGTCAGAAGGTATATCCAATCACAACGTGCCTGAATTACATCCATTATGTGGTAAGTTTTTTAGAGAAGAAAGCATAAGACAGAAAAGTTTCCATGTAAACATGCTAAAGACACACCTTGAAAAGAACAGCAAATGTAATGTCGGTTGGCAGCCAGCATGAAGAGGAAGAGATAGACCCACTGTTAGACATGTTATCTGACACTTGGGAGTTGGGACATGACATTAACACATTAACACCTCTTTCCCATTCAGAAAACTGCTGGAGGTGTTTGTGGTACAGTGTAACTGTCTTTCTAGAAAGATGAGTGTTCCAGTCCACAAGGTAAACAAAGGGTTAATTTTTTCACCAAAGCAGTCTGCCTCCCACTGGAGACATGGGGAAGGAGATTGATAGGATGATGTAGGGTCATTCAGAAGTCTATCAGTGCGCGTGCCTCAACAGTAGCTCTAGTCCAAAAAAAAAAATTAGATGACCAATTTCTGTGTGGACCACAAAAAAACTAAATTCCATTCCCACTGCTGATGCTTCTAATGCCCAGGTTCAATGAGTTTTTACATAAGCTGATGGCTGTCAATTTAACAGTCATGGGCCTGAGTAGAGGGCACTGGAAAATTACCCTAGCACCTGAAATTCAAGAAAAATCAGGCTTTGTAACCCCATTTGCATTTTTCAAGTTACGGTGCCGCACTTTCCTTAAAATATAAATCACCCTTAAATCATACCCTCAAGACAAAATACTTCACGATAAACACGATAAAGCATGAACAATCTCAATATTATAATGAGTCTCTATTAATGTTTCTTCTCGGCAATCCCCAAAACTGTAAAATTTCATTTCTATGATCACTTCATATACCACTTGTGTTTCTCCACCACCAAAACACCCGATGTGCCCTCATCTGGAGCTTTTGACCTCACATAAAGTTTGGTCAAAAAACGCTTGTATCCCTTGCAGTTGACATAGGATTAAGTTGTCTCTTGAATTAGAGTCTTCCTTCAATGGTTAACGGCCTCCTTCATAACTCGTTCTCCACTCAGCATACATATATTGAAAAATAGGCAAAAAAAACAATAGTGCTTTATCCTTAAACACTTGTTTATTAAAATATTAAGATTAGCAACTCACATTGTGTGGGTGCTCCATCACGCCAAATATCATGTGCATAACATCAATATCCAACATCCAACACCATGTGTGCATATATACAGTATGTGTATCTATCTATGTGTGTGTGTGTGTGTTTTTTATATATATACAGTTGTGGCCAAAATTATTCAACCCCCACTGAAATTGAGTGTTTTGGCCAGTTTGACATTGCTTTTGATCATTCAGTCATCTTGCTTACATTTACATTAAAGAGGCACTTGTAGGTCAGACAAATATAACATAACAGTTATAATGAAATAACCACAAATGTCTTTTCTGTGCTCACAGCATTATCAGTTTTATTCAACCCCCAAGTGACATTCAATCTTAGTACTTAGTACAGCATCCTTTTACAGTTATAACAGCTTTTAAACGTGAAGCATAGCTTGACACAAGTGTCTTGCAGCGATCTACGGGTATCTTCGCCCATTCTTCATGGGCAAAGGCCTCCAGTTCAGTCACATTCTTAGGCTTGCGCACTGCAACTGCTTTCTTTAAGTCCCACCAGAGGTTCTCAATCGGATTTAAGTCTGGTGACTGCGATGGCCACTCCAAAATGTTCCAGCCTTTCCTCTGCAACCATGCTCTAGTGGACTTGGAGGTATGCTTGGGATCATTGTCCTGTTGAAAGGTCCAACGTCTCCCAAGCCTCAGGTGTGTGACGGACTGCATCACGTTTCCATCCAATATCTCCTGGTACTGAAGAGAATTCATGGTACCTTGCACACGCTGAAGCTT